GAGCCTTGAGTTTTGGCTAGAGATAGAGTCAGTTAGACTGTAATTAGACTTTGAGTAGCGTAATCTCAGGACCTAGATTTATTACAAAAGTGGTGGCAGCAGTGGGATAACCTAGGACCCAGATCTAGATGCCCGAGAATCCGAAAGTATTCCGGAAAAAGAGTAAAGTGAAAACCTGGTTTAACGGATTAGCCAGAGAAGTTTTAGAGTGGCTACAGGAAATACAGTGGCTACCTTTTAAGTATATCCAAGTCTACCCAGTGACGTTTCTGAATCTCACCCAGCGATAGATTGCATAGCGGAAATAAAGCAGCAGTTTCAGCTGCTCCAATCCCAGCTGACGGAGACTCAGAATAAATTTGCAAATATCTAGCAGAAAGATAAGGATAAATCATTTGCCAGAGGTGGCAGGAGTCAGTGACACCAGAGACACAGGACCCTATCAGAAGAGTAGTTGCAATACTAGAACACCCTAAGTTGGAAGGTGCTCAAGAAGTTTATGTGTCCTTTCTGAAGGCAGTGGGCAGAGGAGATAGGCAGACGTTACAAGATCTGAGCAGGGCGGAAGCTGAGTATAAGAAGAGACTGTTGGATTTTAGCTGTAGAGCCCCAACCTATGATGGTAACCCTGGTAAAGTGTTTGACTGGTGTGGCGAATTAGAGAAACATCTGTCAAGGTTTGAGTGTAAACGATCCCTAATGATGCAATAAAAAGGATGCTGCTAGACTGTATAACAGGAAAAGCACAGTCTGATATAGTATTGTAGAAGCCTTATGGATTAGCTTTCAACAGTTACAAGATTGGTGAATTCTTTCAGGAGTTATTGAAGAAGTTCACTCACGAGAAGGACGAGGAGGGCAGGAAGATGGAATACTTGCACAGGAGACAGGCGAGAAATGAAGATGCTCGTCAGTATTACACAGACAAGCTAAGGTTATTTGTGCAAGCCTACCCCCCAGCCAGGAGGAGTTCAGTCAAGTTCAAGACTAATATGTTGTTAGGATTATACAACGCTGAACTGAGGAAAACTTGCCTGATGTTTATGCCTAAAGATATTAAGCATGAGCAGGAGATTAAGGCAGTTCTGGACCACCAGCTAGTAAACCTGAGGACTTATAACATGGACCCCAGAGCCCCAGTACAGGATATTGCAGGCCTACAGAGCACATTTGGGTATGATAGGAGCAAGACAGCCAAGGCCAACAAGATGTTGAAGACGGGACAGGTGCCCATGGACGTCAACGACATGCCAGGGCTGGTAGAGGATGTGTCTGATGCTGAGGATTTAGATATAGAGGGTGGTGTTAATGCCCTGCAGAATGGTGATACGAGTAATTTCTGCAAGAAAACTGGACATCAGAAGAGGGATTGCAGGAAGTTTGAGGAATTGAAGAAGAACAACCCTCACAAGAAACCTGGGGGAAACCCTCGTAGTGCTAATTCCCGACCCTCAATTTCTTGATACAACTGCAGGAAAGAGGGGCATATTTCACCGGAATGCAGAGGGGAATGTAGAAATCAAGGAAGATGTGCACTCCATGGACACCTGGGACCACTTGAAGCATCTGAAGAGTATAGTGGAGGCTCATACGAAGGCGGGGATCAAGATTCAACCTAAGAAGACCAAGATATTTCAGACAGAAACCGAATATTTAGGACATAGAGTGAGTCAGGGTGGAGTACAGATGTTGGATCAAAATGTGAAAGATATACAGAGTTGGCCACGTCCCACCAATTGCAAGGAAATGTCATCATTCCAGGGATTCACGGGTTATTACAGAGGATTCATCCCCAGGTACTCGGCTTTGACCAAACAGATGAATAGTCTTAAGAAGGCGGAGAAATTTGTATGGACTGAAGATGTGGAGAAGGATTTCCTGGAGTTGAAGGAGGAGTTTTCAGCAAGGCAGATACAAGCTTATCCAGATTTTGATTCAGATGAACCTTTTTTTCTTATTACAAACTGGTCCTCTATAAACATTGCAGGGGTTTTGTCTCAGAAACAAGAGGGAGTGGAACGTTTCTGGGCTGTTGGGGGCGGAAGTGTAATCGTTATGNATAAACTTGTATATATTTCTTATATAAGTCTATGCATCCTATGCAGCCGTATATAAACTTGTATATATTTCTTATATAAGTCTATGCATCCTATGCAGCCGTATATAAACTTGTATATATTTCTTATATAAGTCTATGCATCCTATGCTTCATGGTATATATGAATATATGACGTTAACGATATATAAAATGTATATAAACTATACATCTATGCATCCTATACATTTAAAAAAGGGTATTATTATTCCTATGGTCTCATATTAGACCTCTAATGGGTGAGGCTTGGCTCAATTCCAATATTGATCACCCCTATTCGTTATGTAAATTTGTCACCTCAAAAATGCATGTGTGATGCCTTTTAAAAGAAAACGAATCTTGAGTATCTAAAAAACAGGTCAAATACTCCATTTGAATAAAATGTGCGTAACAGTTCTTAATAAAAAACTGTTGTTTATAAAAAATGCATTTCTCTTCACATTTTCCCAAGACCAAAAAAATATCAAGAACATCGAATAATATAATTTGCTATGATAAACTTTGGATAATTTGATATTTTTCAATAATATTACAAATTGAATAAATTTCTTATCTACACATACTAAGATTATTTAAAATAATACTAAGGAAATCTTTGAATTAAAATTTTAGTTTTGCATTTAAGAAAATATAATCCATATTTTTAGGAATATAACAAATATTTAGAGTGGAAAAGGACATACTCTGTTAAATCTTTTTATCATTTAGTGAGCCAGGTATAATTTGTCATGTGAACCAATTTGTAACAAATAGCAGGTTTTAAAGCCTTCAAGTCAGTCTTGAAATTTTGGCATCGAATAAATTATGGGCTGCAATTCAATTGATAAAAAATGTTATACACAACTCTTTCTCTGAAATGTGAAAAGTAAAGAGGGGGTAGGTGATGTTAAACTTAGGCTTTACAGAGAACACTATAAGAAATTTCAAATTTTCAACTAACAAAATTTGTTTGAACACCAAACTCAAATACACCTTAGCAGAATCATTCGTCAAATTTTGTTAAATGTATTTTCAGTTGCCTTAATTCAAAGTTTGATAAATGATCTATCTGTAGCATATTCTGTAGTAATGCTTCATCTGATCTTTATTATCCATGCTAGTAATATATCTTATCTATTTTATGTTGACCCTGTCTGGTCAGTCCGGTCTGTTTAATTTCACCTGTATATATAATAAATTAGTTCCAGATGAATCGTTGTGTTATACGGATGTATAAAAAACCTTGAGTTTTGGCTAGAGATTGTGAGCCTTGAGTTTTGGCTAGAGATAGAGTCAGTTAGACTGTAATTAGACTTTGAGTAGCGAAATCTCAGGAGCTAGGTTTATTACATATCAACTGATGTTAGTCCCCCACTGCCATGCTCTGGTCGGGCCTCCTTATAATTATCATCACACAAAGTTTGTCTCATGTTGCTTCAACCAGCAAAACTACTTGGTTTAAAAACTACCATTCATCAAAATTTGTTGGATGTCCCTTCAACTTACTGAGCAACTATGTAATCATTTGTTATATGATCATTAAATCTTGACGCATCAACAGAAGTTGTTACAGGTGGCGCCACCTATTCTCTCAAAATTTTATAAATATAGAATTAAGTTTGTTGCTACTTAAAAATCCTGCTGTAATTTAAAATTTTAATATTTTGATACAATTGTTTTGTAATCAAAAGTATAAATCAGCAAAAATGCAATTGAAAATTAAACAATTTTGAAGTTTATAATTTTTTTAATGAAAATACATCAAATAAATTTGATACAAAAATTATGAATCAACAGAGATAAAGATTTAAATACAAATCTTTAATGTAACATGTAGCATAAGTTTTACTGATTAATTCATTTTATTACAGTTCAAAGTTTAAAGGACAGGTCTTCAATTAATCACCAATTCAGACAACGTTTGATTCTTGTAGATCTAGATTCTGCACAGTCTGAGTTATGAAAGATTTGGTTTTCCTTTGATACTCTCTTTCAACTTTTGCAAATTTGCAAATTTTTTTGCAGATTCTAAAAGTAGAGCAAAAAACGAATATTATTTTTTTCTTAAATAAATGTTATAGAATTTTTGGGTTTTTCTGATTTCTTTATTTGTATATTTTCTGACCTTTTTTAAAGGTCAACAAAAATATGAGCTAATTACAATGGAAAAAAACTGTCAAATGACAAAAGAAAGATGTCATATGACAAAGTTTGACGTAATATTTCGAGAGAACAATGTATAAGCTATTAAGAAGTTTTTTTAGATTGTAATTTTGGAAAATGTTCAAAAAAATTTTGAGTTATTAAAGAAGAAATTTGAAATATAAAAGAAGAACTTTGATGCCTGATGCTAAAGACAAAAACTGCATTTTTTAGAGTGAACTTAAATTCCTTTTTTTTGGTTTGGTTGAATCATTCTGAATTTGTTCCCAGTGTTACTGCAATTATACTAACTAAGCATTGTAAAAAGTTGTATTTATCCTTTAATAAGAAAAAAGGTTTAATTGTTTAAAAAATAACAGATTACTCAAATTGGACACAAGCTAATAGATCAGTTTTGTCTTGCTTGTACATCAAATTGATTTGTTCTATCTACTTTATAATTCAAAAAATTAATTATTGTGCATTTTATATTTTAACATTTTAAGTTTCAAAACAATCCAATTGTTAATGCAACTAGTATTACAGATTTTTTATAAAAAATTGTTTCTAATTATCATTTTACTTCTAGAGATTATGTGATTTATGCGAGAGAGTTCATAATCCGGAAAAAAAAGTCTACACACAATTTGGTGACTGGTGGTATAAGGGCATTTGTGAGAAGTGAGTTGTAAAAAAACATTCTTAAATATCCAGTTAACTGACCTAGTTTTTTTTCAGGAGATTAAAAGCTTTTTAATTAGATTTAATTAAGAATTTTAAGGCTTTTATTGGGACTACAAGAAAGAAATTAATTTAAATCTTAACTCTATAAGTTAGAGTAGTTGGGTTTAACTGGCTTCAAGGGTGTGGGTGGGGTCTCTGTAAAACAGACAGCAGTTGGGGTAGTAAGGGTAGTTGAACATTCATATTCAGCTTCAAGGTTGGGTGTGGGGTCTCTTTAAAAACAGGTGGAAGTTGGGGTAGTTAGGGTAGTTGCCATTTAGATTCAGCTTCAAGAGTGGGGCAACTACCCTCACTACTGTCTGTTTTTAGAGATGCATCTCAACCCCACCCTTGAAGCTGAATCTATTAGGAACTACACTCACTACCCCATTGGGTATCGATTCTCATTAAATCAATTGTTTTAAGCTTGTTTCTGGTATTCATAACACTCTCCAACCTTTACTATCCTCACCACCCACTTTCTGAAGGGTGCGCATTTCATAGTAAAAAAAAGGCAATTTATACATTAACCAAATTGCCTGCCCCCAGCGGAATAGGATTAATAAATATCTTTAATTTCAGTCCAAATTGGGAGCGATGATGAAAACTTAAGATCCTAATGATTGACTAGAGTATTTGCAATAGTTTTTCTGGCGTGGAAGACATATTTCTAAATATTAATAAACTGTTTTTTGTATACTTTCCATAAAATTATCAGTTTTTCCATATAAAACAAATCCACAATTTATTATCTGCAGTATGGATTTTTAATTTCTTTGTTCTTTTTTCTTCTTGTTTGTCTTCTACTTCTTCTTCATCCTCTTTTTCTTGTTTTTCTTCTTCTTCTTATAGTGTACTTATATCTTTATTTCAGATGATAATGGCTGTTTTTTAAAGAAGTTTCAAAATGCCAGCATTGTTTTTAAATATTTTGCTTTGTTTTTCTTTTGTAAGTCATTTTTTAAGCTTTAGTAATTTTGTTATGTTATTTATGATTTTCAAAAAAAACATTTTCAGTGGTTGGTCAATACTGATTTGAATCTAAAATTTGTTCAGGTAAAACTACACGATTTATAAATTGAATTTAAAATAAAAACTGAGTTCAGGAAAAAAATTAAAATTTCATTAAAACACATGACATATAATATAACACATAACATATAACATAACACATAACTTATAATGTAACATGTGACATATAACATGAATGGCAGGAAAATGCAAAATAATGACAATTGAATAAGTAAAGTGATTTCAAAATGACAAAATTTTGTACCTTAGTTGGTTTTACTCTAACACTTTAAAAAAAAACAAGTCGCATATTGAGGAATTATTTTCAGGGGCAATCAAGAGAACAGGGGGGGGGGAGGTTACAGAATCTAGACTAGGTAAATACCTAACACAGTTAATTATGATGGGAATATAGATCTGTTTAGCCTGGAGCAGGATGACCAGAGACTGGTAAAATATGTTAAACATCATTATTTATTCAAAACTGGAACAAGAGGAAGAAAAGTAAGTGTTTTCTTCTGAAATTTTTTGAAGTATCTGAGTAATAGCAATAAACTCAAATTTTTGAATCCCTTTATCTTTGCAACCTTAAGGTGCAAACTTTTGATATTTCAACTATTTTATCTAACATAATTCATAGCTTGGTCTACAACATTGGGTTGCAAAGATAAAGAGATAGAAAATAAGAGTTTGAGCCAAAACTGATTTCCTTTACAAATATGCTTTGCTCCTACAATTCATGTCAAGCTAACGTAAATTGAAAGTAAGATTGAAATCTTACACATTTTCAACAATAACTTTAAGAGATATCGACAAGAACAAAAAAACGTTTTGAATTTCTAATAAACTCAGTCCCAGAATATATGCAAGAGTATTTCTTGATCCTTTCTCTGCCCCTAAAGTTGAGCTAGAAAACAATTAAACACTAAAAACATGTGTAGTTCATTTACAAGTTTTTTTTATAATGATTTTAGTTTAATTAACCTTTGGAAGTGGATAACATTTATAACAGGTGTTTGTTTAAAATTTTAAAATATTTAACAATGAGAAATTAGTTCAAGTCAATCTATGCAAAACTAAATCGATCAAAAAACCAACTTTTAAAACAATTGTTTTTAGTTAGTAAGACAAAAATGTAGCATATTTAAACAGAAAACAGTTTTTTGGAAGTTTTTTTCAGTTTTTGAAACAAACCACAACAATTGACAAAACTTTATATAGCCAGCACCAAACTAAGCTAAAAGATGTTAAAATTGTAAAAGTCCGTTAGAAATAATGGAGTATCTAATATTTATCATATTCTACAAAGGTGTAGATTTCAAACATTATATTATAGACCTAAAAAAACTCTGATAGATTTTGAAATCTCATCAAATTTGCAATAAATTAGAAACAAAATTTTTTTTTTAATTCAGTAAAATTTGGAGCCCTTAAATTAATTTAAAAAACACGTCCGATCCCAAATCTCCTCGTTCTCATAGTTCTTCTCGTTATCCTAGTTTTCTGGGTTCCCCTAATTCTCCTATTCCTCCTAGTTCTCCTAATTCTTCTATTTCTCCTAATTCTCCTAGTTCTCCTAGTCTCCTTGTTCTTCTTGCTCTCCTTGTTCTTCTAGTTCTCCTAGTTCTCCTAGTTCTCCTAGTTCTCCTAGTTCTCCTAGTTCTTCTAGTTCTCCTAGTTCTCTTAATTCTCCTAATTATCCTAGTTATCCTAGTTTCCTAGTTCTCCTTGTTCTCCTAGTTCTCCTAATTCTCCTAGTTCTCCTAGTTCTCCTAGTTCTCCTAGTTGTCCTAGTTCTCCTAGTTCTTCTAGTTTTCCTAGTTATCCTTGTTATCCTAGTTCTCCTTGTTATCCTAGTTCTCCTAGTTCTCCTAATATTCCTAGTTCTCCTAGTCTCCTTGTTCTTCTTGCTCTCCTAGTTCTTCTAGTTCTTCTAGTTCTTCTAGTTCTCCTAGTTCTCCTAGTTCTCCTAGTTTTCCTAGTTCTTGTAGTTCTCCTAGTTCTACTAGTTCTCCTAGTTCTCCTAGTTCTCCTAGTTCTCCTCTCCTAGTTCTCCTAGTTTTTCTAGTTATCCTAGTTCTCCTAGTTCTCCTAGTTATCCTAGTTATCCTAGTTCTCCTAGTTTTTCTAGTTATCCTAGTTATCCTATCTCTCCTAGTTCTTCTAGCTCTCCTAATTCTCCGAGTTCTCCTAGTTCTCCTAGTTTTTTTAGTTATCCTAGTTCTCCTAGTTTTTCTAATTATCCTAGTTATCCTAGTTCTCCTAGTTCTCCTAGTTCTCCTATTTCTGTAGTTCTCCTAGTTCTCCTAGTTCTCCTAGTTCTCCAAGTGTTCCCAGTCTCCTAGTTCTTTTAGCTCTCCTAGTTTTCCTATCTCTCCTAGTTTTCCTAGCTCTCCTAGTTCTCCTAGTTCTTTTAGCTCTCCTAGTTTTCCTATCTCTCCTAGTTTTCCTAGCTCTCCTAGTTCTCCTAGTTATCATAGTGTTCCAAGTCTTCTAGTTCTTCTAGCTCTCCTAATTCTCCGAGTTCTCCTAGTTCTCCTAGTTCTCCTAGTTCTCCTAGTTCTCCTAGTTTTTCTAGTTATCCTAGTTATCCTAGTTCTCCTAGTTATCCTAGTTATCCTAGTTCTCCTAGTTCTCCTTGTTCTCCTAGTTCTCCTAGTGTTCCCAGTCTCCTAGTTCTTTTAGCTCTCCTAGTTTTCCTATCTCTCCTAGTTTTCCCAGTCTTCTAGTTCTTTTAGCTCTCCTAGTTTTCCTTGCTCTCCTAGTTCTCCTAGTTACCCTAGTGTTCCGAGTCTCCTAGTTCTTCTAGTTCTCCTAGTTTTCCGTCCTACTTCTCCTAGTTCTCCTAGTTCTTCTAGTGTTCCGGGTCTCCTAGTTCTTTTAGCTCTCCTAGTTTTCCTAGTTATCCTAGTGTTCCGAGTCTCCTAGTTCTCCTAGTTCTCCTAGTTCTCCTAGTTCTCCAAGTTCTCCTACTTCTCCTAGTTCTCCTAGTTCTTCTAGTGTTCCGAATCTCCTCGTTCTTTTAGCTCTCCTAGTTTTCCTAGTTCTCCTAGTTCTCCTAGTTCTCCTAGTTCTACTAGTTTTACGAGTCTCCTAGTTCTTCTAGCTCTCCTAATTCTCCGAGTTCTCCTAGTTCTCCTAGTTCTTCTAGTTCTCCTAGTTTTTCTAGTTATCCTAGTTATCTTAGTTCTCCTAGTTATCCTAGTTCTCATAGTTCTCCTAGTGTTTCCAGTCTCCTAGTTCTTTTAGCTCTCCTAGTTTTCCTATCTCTCCTAGTTTTCCTAGCTCTCCTAGTTCTCCTAGTTATCCTAGTGTTATCCGAGTTCTTTTAGCTTTCCTAGTTTGCCTAGTTCTCCTAGTTCTCCTTGTTCTCTTAGTGTTCCTAGTCTCCTAGTTCTTTTAGCTCTCCTAGTTCTCCTAGTTTTTCTAGTTATCCTAGTTATCCTAGTTCTCCTAGCTATCCTAGTTCTCCTAGTTCTCCTAGTTCTCCTAGTGTTCCGAGTCTCCCAGTTCTTGTGAAGTTTTTTCGAATATTTGAATCAAAACAGACAATTTAAAAATTGATAGAAAGTATCAATTGAACCTTTTGATGAAATTTATAAGACTTCTAATATTTCACAGTGTGCTCGCAGAATTGAATAACAGGAATTTAAAGTTTGATTTATTGAAATATAATATTTACAAGTTAAAAATTTTGATAAAATTCGAACAAGTATAAAAGATGCATAAAAATATATAAGTTAAAAACTAGCCCAGTTTATAAGGAAAATTTTATAAGTGCAAAAGATGCATAAAAATATTAAGTTGAAAACAAGAAGATATTAGAGAGGGAGGGTTTAGGGGAATATAAATATATAATGAGACCTGGTTTAAAGAGTAGTAGTAGTTCTGCCTGTGGATCCCAGACTGAATCTACCACGAAAAGGTGGCCTTTTTATAATGCCGGGTATTGCATAATGATGATGAAAAACTAGGACATATTTCATGGCTTGAAAGGGAAAGAATGTTCTAGAATATGCATATTGCACAATGATGATAAAAATATAGGGCTTGAGAAGATAGAAGTTGTAAGAATGAACTCAATTTATAATTCAGAATGTTCTAGAATAAGCATATTGCACAATGATGATAAAAATATAGGGCTTGTGTAGGTAGAAATTGTAAGAATGAACTCAATTTATAATTCAGAGATTATAAAGATAGAAGAGGAGGGGAGGGTAGAAAACATGTACAATGAATACAAAACATTTATTTCTATAAATAAATGAAATTTTCTTGATTCTTGATTGTCCAGAGTATCAAAAGGAAATGATCTCCATCGATGCTGAATATCTCATGAGAATCCTCTCCGTCATTTATCTCATCTCTAGTAGGAGCCAAACAGTTATTTTGATAGAAAATATCGTTAGAATTTATAATCTCGGAGATTATAACATTCTTTTAGCTCTCCTAATTCTCCGAGTTCTCCTACTTCTCCTAGTTCTTCTAGTACTTCTAGTGTTCCAAGTCTCCTTGTTCTTTTAGCTCTCCTAGTTCTCCTAGTTATCCGAGTGTTCTGAGTCTCCTAGTTCTTCTAGCTCTCCTAGTTCTCCGAGTTCTCCTACTTCTCCTAGTTCTCCTAGTTCTTCTAGCTCTCCTAGTTCTCCTAGTTCTCCTCGTTCTTCTAGTTCTCCTTGTTCTCCTTGTTCTCCTAGTTATCCTATTTTTTTGGGTTCTCCTAGTTCTCCTAGTTCTCCTAGGTATTCTAGTTCTCCTAGTTCTCCTAGTTCTCCTAGTTAGTTCTCCTAGTTCTCCTAGTGTTTCGAGTCTACTAGTTCTTCTAGCTCACCTTTAACCATGTACTTAAATTGGGCGAGGAAGGTGTGTTGGTCTGATGGGAAATAAAAGTGCAGGGTCTACTCTGAGAATAACAACTCTAATAAATATTGTGCCAGTTATGGGTAAAGTTGATATCAGGTATAAAATTTTTTTATTTTTAGCCCCCACCCACCTCTCCTCTTCCCACTTGAATTTGTTATATATAAAGGAATTGTATAAAGAGACATGCTATGCCATACATGTGCATATCGGGTTCACAAAAGAAAGCTAGAAAAACAATGATATCTTCCTCATAATTGTTCAGTTCAATTGTAAAGTGTATTGTTGTGAATATGACATGTTCTTTTTAAATATAGGTTAACTTCAAATTTCATGGCTGTCATAATTTCGTTTTTGTCTCGTTTTTATTTGTTAACTTCCATATTTGAAATTAAAGAATATTTACACGTCCTCATGTATGTCACATTGTTATGGGGGTCAGACCATCGGATTATACGATTATTAGTTTGGTTAGTTGGCTAGTTGGTTTAATGGTTGTTAGGTTAATAATTTGGTTGGTTGATTAATTGGTTGGCTGGTCTGATGGTTGGTTGGTCTGATGATTGGTTGGTTTGATGGTTGCTTTGATGGTTTTATGGTTATGGTATGATGGGAATGATGGTCGGTCTAATCTTTGTGTGCATAAAACGATAATTTTTTATGACTGATGGTTTTTCAGTTGATAGGCTGGATGGTTGGTTGGATTGTTGGTTGAATTGTTGGTCGGATTACTAAATGGTTGGATGAATGGTTGGCTTTTTGGTTATTTGGTTGGTTGGTTGGTTGTTCTGGTGGTTAGATGATTGGTCAGTTGGTTGGTTGGTCAGTTGAACATTTCTATTGTTTAAATATTATTAAAGTATGTATCTATCTAGGATTCTGAAAATCAAAGAAGAGCACTCAATTAGTCAATTCATTGGAGTATGATCAGATTAAAATACTCCATTGTTATGTTTTTTTAAAGGGACTGTAGGCTTAATTTCAAGTGACCTTAAAAACCTTAATCTGATCATTAATGTGAAATATGTGTAGTTTGTTAAGCTTTAAAGTGTTCAATTCTGATAATTAAATTAAGTTTTCTTGTAGAATACTCTTGTAAATTGAATTTGAAAATAATCAGCTTTTAAAATGATTAAACATTGATATTCTAGGATAAACTAGGAAGAGTTCGGAAGAGTTGGGAAGAGTTGGGAAGAGTTGGGAAGAGTTGGGAAGAGTTGGGAAGAGTTGGGAAGAGTTGGGAAGAGTTGGAAGAGTTGGGAAAAGTTAGGAATAGTTGGGAAGAGTTGGATGAGTTGGGAAGAGTTGGGAAGAGTTGGGAAGAGTTGGGAAGAGGTGGGAAGAGTTGGTAAGAGTTAAGAAGAGTTAGGAAGAGTTTGGAAGAGTTAGGAAGAGTTGGGAAGAGTTGGGAAGAGTTGGGAAGAGTTGGGAAGAGTTGGGAAGAGTTGGGAAAGCAAGAGTTAAAGAGTAGGGTTTGGTAAGCAAGAGTTGGGAAGAGTAGGGTTTGGTAAGCAAAAGTTGAGAAGAGTAGGTTTGGTAAGCAAGAGTTGGGAAGATTAGGGTTTGGTTAGCAAGAGTTGGGAAGAGTAGGGTTTGGTTAGCAAGAGTTGGGAAGAGTAGGGTTTGGTTAGCAAGAGTTTGGAAGAGAAGGGTTTGGTTAGCAAGAGTTGGGAAGAGTAGGGTTTGGTTAGCAAGAGTTGGGAAGAGTAGGGTTTGGTTAGCAAGAGTTAGGAAGAGTAGGGTTTGGTTAGCAAGAGTTGGGAAGAGTAGGGTATGGGTAGCAAGAGTTGGGAAAAATAGGGTTTGGTTAGCAAGAGTTTGGAAGAGTAGGGTTTGGTTAGCAAGGGTGTTAATATTGTTTTATTCTTTTTCTATTTTAAAGAGCATCTTAAAGGATTTAGATAGTTTGCATTTTCAATGTATTTGATTGTTTTTATTTTTCCTTAAAACTGTTTTTATTTAAGTAACAAGTTTTTTAAATTTTATTTCTAGATGTATTAATATATCTAGAGAACTGAATACTCGCCTCAAACTCCAATTTTCTAATCCATTTATCTTTGCAACGTGATGATGTATGCCTTTGTTATTTTAAACTTTGATTATTTTACAGCTTTTAAAAAGTAAACTAAGAAATATAAAAGGTTTACTTTATCTGGTTGCAAAGATATAGGGACTTTAAAATTGGATGAGGAATCAGTTTTCTTGTAATTAAACTAAAAATTATGTGTTTGTAACTATCTAGGTCCCGAGAGTTCTCTCTCTACTTGTCTCTAACTCTAAATCTGCAGTCAATCCGGACTGAATTCCTAGCCTAACCCATGACTACTTAGGTCCGTATGAAACAACGGTTGATATGGTACTAATTTATTGATAACAGGTAAAATAGGTTGACAGGGCGGGCCTGACAGAACATGTGATAAACATAGATAATACAGACAGATAAACTATATACTGATCCTGAATTTGTTACAGAATCCAGGGGAAACGGGTGATGAGTGCCTGTTACACTAGCTCACACAGCATAGGAGGAGTCTATGAAATATCTCTGTTTTTACAGGGAGGAACTATATATCCCTGTTCTGTTTGATTGTTTCTAAGAAGGAGTTGAAAACCTGTTTTTACCGGCAATTATTGTGTACTGCGCAGATGCAGCGAACTTGTGTGTTTTTTTTCAGTTACCAGGATTATTAAACATGTATTCACAGATCTAGTTATTTAAAGAATGTTTTCGTGCTAATTTTGTCATGCTAGTGTCGGCAGACTATTGTGGTAATTATGTTTATAAATTATTAAAGTATTCTTTTTTGTGTTTTGTAATGTATGTTATGATTATTTGGCTGGATTGCAGTTTTTAACGCCTGATGAGTGTAATGTCTATGTTTTTGATGGAAAATGATTGTATTAAACTCGTCAAAGCTTTTTTGTAGTCTAAAAAGTTTAACTATTTTTTTGTTAGACTGAAATTCTGTTCCATAATAAAACTTGAGGCCTTTCCTGTGTTTTGATTCATCATGAGAAGGGACAAAATATGGCATGGTATTAGATTTTTGTATAACCCAGGGCAATGCCAGTTGCGAAACATTCAGTCACAATTCACTTTAGGGTACCAATTGCTTAGCCCCGAAGATGAATTGATTTTTAATTCTGAGAAAATTGATCGAAAGAAATTGAACCCTGATCTATATTAGGCAAGATTACTACTGGGCCGCCTTTTGAGTTCTATTATTGAGATATTTTCTTACCTTCCAGTAGTGTTTGCCAGTAATGGAAAAATACACGGAACGATTGAGTGAAATGGATCTATACCTCTGAGAATTAATCTATGATTAATTAATCAATGAATTAATCTATGGTATGATTACAATAGGGCATCTAATTGATTCTAATTACTGAGATATTTTCTTGCCTTCCTGTAGTGTTTGCCAGCAATGAAAAAATACACGGAATGACTGAGTGAAATTAATCTATCCTTAAAGAGAGTTAAATTGTTTAATAATATCCAATCCCTACCTGATCCATATCCGGAGAGGTTGCAACAGGGCGATAAAAAATTATTTGAGTTTGAGTCTAATTTCAATCTTATTTCCTAATCTTCTCTGAATGCCTAATTTGGAAATTTGTGGCGAGATATAACTTGGGAATTTGTTGAAAAATACACGGAAAATTTAGTGAAATGAATCTATATATCTGAGAATTGTTCAAATCATTTAATCCCTTTGAAACCCCGAATCTATATTAGATACAATTACAATAGGGCACCTAATTAAGCCTAATTAATGAGATATTTTCTTGTCTTCCTGTAGTGCTTGCCAGTAATGGAAAGGTACACAAAACTTGAAATTTACTATAAAACTACTCAATGATAAGTACCGATACCTTTCAGGTTGATATTCTCTCACCTCCTCTCTATTAATTAATGATCATTAACAAAGAGTCATTGTTAACGATTGTTAACAAAGGGTCATCGTTAACATTATTAAGGAAAGGACAAGCTTTACTAAAACCATTGGTGTAATGCAAGGAAAGTTAATTGCAGTCGTGTATACTCTGCATACATAGATGCATCAGTGTTCATTTAGTATTCGAGGAGGTGAAAAGCACTAAATTAGGTAATTTTGATGATTCACATAATAGTTATCTATGATCCGAATATTTCATTGATTTTTTTATGTGAAAGATGGATCCCATGTCAGGCTGAAACATCTGTCTTGTGTTTACATTACCGCCCAGAGACAGTACACTGCAGTACAAAAGATGCGTACACTCCTGAAATAATTTTCCTTGCATTACATCCTTGACTTAAACAATTATTTTGAAAAATGACCGTTTTTGAAAAAACAATCATTATTAAAAATGATCCTTTCGTTTTTGATTTTTTGTTGTCGTTTTCACAACAAAATGATTGTTTCTTATAAAATGTTAACATCCCTACTTACAAAGTAAAATAGTTTTAGGCTCATTATTGATCACATTCATATTTATAACCTAGTATTTCTGATGAATATTATGAATCCTGCCTTGTACAATATCTTTGTACTGCAACGCTTCAGACATTACAGAGTTTTGTGTATTAGCATCAGACGCCATTCCCAGTAAGAAGACAAGTCTAAAGAAAGAAACATAAATGGATACTTTTTCATTCTGAAGGGACCATTAGAGTAATTTCAAGTGAACTTTTATTCATAGAGAGATACATCCAACTCACAACAGTACCCTTTGAACCTTTGTCTGGACTATGTGGTAGACACCATCATTAGTATAGCTGAAGATTAAGTGCAAGAAGACTCAAGGTAACAGTGTACACTCTGCGTTTGGGTACACTCACTCGGTTTCTTAACATTTATTACCAACTTTAAAAATAAGAATATCTACAAAAAATTTGATCAAACAAAGGTTTTAAGGGTATTGTTGTAAATCGGACTTGCCACTCTATGAATGGTAGGTCACTTAAGATTTCAGACCATTTAGATATTTGTTTACATAACTTTTAAAACAGTGAATAATAGCCTAGAAACTTCTATTAATTTGGATGAAAATAAGGTCTTAATATTGAATGCATTTTTAATTTAAGCTCAATTTTCCTGTGTCACGATCATCTAACTAACTGGTTATATTTCTGATAATGATTTTATATTATTTTTTAAAATGGAGGAAAATCTGGGATAAATAAATATTGTAATGATTTTTTTTTCACATTTTAAAAATATATATCTGTAATCAGTTATTTGACCTTCTAGTGGCTTTAAGGGAAAAATATGAACATTACCCTTAGTTGTACCTTGTATTTACTCCAGGTATACTAGGGTTACCCCAAGTCTCTCTGTGATTACATTTATCAAATTTTGTGTTTTAACCATATACCTGCTAGGTGTGTCAATTTGACCCCCCCCCTGTAGTTTTTTTACATAACTCCAAAAGAATTGGTCTGAGGCTGTTGAAACTTTCTAACTTTTCCTTAATACCCATACCCCTACCTATATGTCTAGAACCCTGCTTTAAAACTTACTGCTGAGTCTTCAGGAACACTGCCTGAATGACTACTTTCAGTTGTTAGATTTTGATCATTTTTAGTTTTTTGGACAGCCTATGACATAAGGAAAGGGATTGCAGAGATTTGAAAAGAAAATTTTGCAAATTATTTACATGCAACTTGCCAAAAGAATCTTTTTTAGTTTTTCTTAATAACACATAAGTTATTTGAAATTTGGAAAATTGTTTTGCATATTTGAAATGGCATGGTCAAGGGCTTTTTTTGGAAATTTGTTTTTTTTTGCAAACATTTTTACTTTATAATAGGATATTGCAAAAAAATTTATTTATCAAAAATTTTCAAAATTGTATTGCTTATTCTAAAAGTAGAGCATAAGAGCTTTCCAATTATGTAACATTTGACATAATTGGACATCAAACATGGGATTTAGAGGGCCCCACACAGCCTATCCTGGTTTTCAAGTCCGCCAGTACTATTTTTTTAATATATGATTTACTTTTAACTACGATTTTGGCCGCTATGTGTCTCTCCCAAAAGAAATCAGGAAAACAGAGACACCTTGTGGCCAAATAATCCTTGTTTAAAGTATTTAATTTAAAATAAAAATATTATGTGATATGAACTATGCAAGAACACATCAAATTCAATTCAAAATTTATAGATTTTAATATCTGAATGATTAATTTAAAACAGAATTAAATTATTTATGATCTGAGTGGAATAATGCAACTCTGTGATATTGTCTAAGGTATAAAAGATCTTTGCACCTATCCTTATATACGCTAAAAGAAAAAGTAAAACTAGCATTCCATTGATATTGTAATAAATTAGATATCAGCCTATTATACACTCTTTCATTTTCCACAGCACTCCCTATATTCATGAATTAAATTAGTCTTAACTTTCATTTTAGGATAAGTTTCTATTTTAATTTGAAATTTAATAATTCTCCTGATTGCACTTCTTGCCTGCTTGTTGAGGACTGCAGAGTGTATAATTGTTACCAGTCCTAGGCAAACAATTTATACAGTAAGTTTCTAGATGGAACGCCATGATATTGATTTCAAAGTAAAAATATAGAGAGTGTGGTTTATTCAGTAAACTTTATCTAAATATTCTCAACAGGAAATTTTAAAAGTTTTGTCTCATCAAGATTTATGTTGTTTTTCAAGCCAAAAAACTCAACTTGTTCAGTAGTTTAGACATTTATTAAATACAAACAGAGAGACAAGTCAAATTTATATATACATATACACATAAGGGATGGTCCTTCTCTATAGACACTATTGATTTTTTTTTTCAGTTACTAACAGCAGCACAATAAAATGTAAATTTATCACATTTTAATGTCATTAGGAGTGCCTTATGCACTAAAATATGAAAACTTTTTGAAATTTATGTTTTTCGTATTAAAATTTGTTAAATGTGTATACAAAGATGACGTCCTCTTCGACAATCAATTAAACATTACATATTTTGGTTCGTAGTTTCACTCAACGTTCAATGTGAATAAAGTATCTCATATACATATGTAATTATGTATTTTTAAATGATAGTTTATTTTATTAAAGTAACATTGAATAAAGCGAATAAATTAAATAAATAATAGAAATAATAATTGAATAAATCAGCTAATAGTATTATTACAAATTTGTTCCTGTATGTGATAACTTTTTATTTTTATGCCCTGTTCAATTCAGCTCTTGACACAGGCAATACACAATTTTTAATGCGATAAAATAATGTTATTTTAGAAATAGAAAGTTTAAAAAACCAAAAATTTTTAAAAATTATGACATTTACAATTAACAATTGCATACTACAGATTAATTTTATATTCAAAATTCATTTTGATCCACAACATACTGAAAAAAACATCAAATAGTGTATTTAGAGACAGAGTGTCCCTTTTTTTCACAAATTCTGAATGAAAAATCGGCTTTTTCTCCGGCCACAGTTGTCATTGAAAAGTAAGACTATTACTAATCAACAGAGAACAGACTGTTTAGTTTCACCTGAAGTTACCCAAATTATGGTCCCTTTAAACATTAATTTATAGAATACAATACCAATAATTGCAAAAATGTTTAAAAAAGATACTTTTTCTTAATTTTTTATTGCGAAAAAAGGTTAAACCAAATATGGACTTTTAGCTTTAAAGGTATATTTCAGGCTTAGAGGTTAAATGGATTCCAATCTGATCCATATTAAATATATGTATATATATATAAATATATTTGGCTTGTCTCTCTGTTTGAATATAATAAACGTCTAAACTACTGAACAAATTGAGTTTTTTGGCTTGAAAAACAACATCAATCTACAATTAACACAAGAAAAGGGGCCCTTCAAGTCTTTTAACTTATCAAACAAAATCTTGAAGCTGTTGTGAGTAATTGATATTACGAAAATTTTATATCTACCTATTTGTGATACATTGCAAATATCATAATTGATATTAATTTTAAAATTGGTGATATTTATGAGGGTTAGATTATCAG